GCTTTAAGAGTAGTTTTAATCAATAGGTAGTGCTGCTAATACCAATTTTTCTCCTTGTTCAACGTCCAGTCTGCCTTTTTTAAAAAGGGATTGAATAGGCTATTTAAGTAGTTCTTTATATATATTTTTTTTTTTTTAAAAGAAACAGAAATATAGAAGCTGAAATCTTAATAAAGGTCACCTTAAATCCAACAAACAAAAAAATAGAGCAAAGAAAAATCAAGGAATCAAAACATTCTTTCCACTGTGCATGTCTCTAATATTGATTCATCTCAGAAATGTCCAAGATTCATGCATTTACACACTAAATATATCAAGAGTTCTTAGTTTTTATATATTTGCGAAGAGAAAAATATATTCTTTAAAAAAAAAATTCTGTAGGCCTATTTGACTAGATCATAAATCAGAGTCAGTTAAGGGTAAATGCTGGGCGAAGGTTTTAGTAGTAGTACCAAGTCTTAAGTTTCTCATGGGGAATATCGGCGCTCAGTTCTTTAGGGTTTGTGAGAGAAAAGAAGCAGCTCATGAGTTTTAAAATGTCACCATGTCTCAATGATTACATGTCAGGAGGAAAAGGAGAAGGAAGAGGCTGCTGCTTTACTAATTTTAGCAGGGTAGCACTCAGATGAGTGATGTAGAGGAAAATATTACAATCTTGATCCAAAGTTAAAGATAAACATGGAGATTGAAAACAAACCTAATAAAAACAATAATAATCGTAGAGGGACATTAGGATCATAGTAACAGACGACTGATCTCAGATATCAGAAATCTTCTTTTTAGTTTAGCGCTGCACTGATTTCTACGGAAGATCTTTACGGATTAGGCCCACTGAAAAAAATTACAAAGTTAACTGATTTTTTAATTTTATCTCTTTATAATATAAGAAAAAAGTGAGAATTCAGACTTCTTTTCAGAATTATGACCTTTTTCTCACACTTATGACTTTAATCTCAGAATTATGACTGAATTCTGACAGCTAACAAACATGTTATTATCAAGTCGTAGCCATGGCTGTTTTAGAGACTAAAGTAGCTCTCTTCTTTTAATCACCTTCTGCTCTTCCATTAATGCAATAGCATCACTGGGGACCCCTTGGGCACGTAAAAAGTCACCTAATTCCATCATTTTCCACCAATGTGTCACTGGCCCTCTAAAACAACTCACATAGTGGTCAGTGAAGCTGAGTGCTCCTACATCTCTTCCTTCATGGTGCCCATCTACATTAAGATCCAACATTCTGAGATTAAAGTCAGAATTCTGAGAATAAAGTCAGAATTCTTAATTTGATCCCCTATTAAACTGAAATAATATTTAAAAACCAGTTAACTTTTTTTCCCCAGATGCCCTAATCCTCTTTCGTAGATTGCAGTTTTCTGCACTGTAAAAAAAAAACAAGTTATGTATAGATGCCAGACCTTTCTGAATGTTTGATTTCAATATTTGAATTTGATCGCAATTTTACCAAAATTATAAATCCCAAAGTATCTTTTTAAAAGCATCATGCAACACATCGAGTTAAATGCATAAAAGTAACCATACAGGGTGTAAAGTCATTCAAACATTTGAAACTGATTGAAATATTCAGCATACTGCCTTCTTCAGAGCTCCGCTGTCAAAGCTACACGTGTTTTTCGCTGCTACGATAAGTAGCCTCTGCTGGCTAGCGGAAGAAAAAACTGTCACATTAACAATAATGTCCGAACATTTCATGCAACTTTGATTTTATATGTGTAAAACTAAGTGATGTCAGGTGTTCAGCTGTGCTATTTTAAACGGTGACTCTGTTTAAATGTGCAGCCCACATGTGTGCAGGTAAAATAGCAATGCTAACAAGTAAAAAACTGCTAGCTAAGCGAAGTGAAATTTATCTCAATGTGACAAATTAAACGGTTAGGTGAACATTAAAAGGGAAATAGGAGAGTTAGACCAGCTATGTTCGAGAGGTATTTATCGTTTCCAGGCAGTTAGCAGCGAGGTAAAGTTAGCTGTTATCCTGCTAGCGTACAGCTAGCTAGTTAGGCGCTTTAACGGTTGCTCCGCGTTAGCGGGATTGATTAAAACTAACAGCAAATTTAACGATGAGACACTTAGTGTCTATTATTTCTAATGGGTTGTGACTTACTCAATGTACTGAGGTCGACGGCCGGCTGGTCAGGCTTCCATGATTTCCTTTATTTCCGATCTCTCAGGTAGCAGTGACCGCTGATTCATTCCCAGCCTGCCTCCCAGCCTGCTTCTGTCCTCCTCAGGCGGTGAATGTCACTCATTACTGCTCATCCAGGATATCCAATCCATTCAAACCCGCCACAGAAAATATGTATATAACTATATTTAATCAATATGCTTTAAATTTTTTATTAATTAGAATGTTTATATGCAGCTCCCTCATTTTATTTTGGATAGTGGTCCTGCATCACCCCTCTCAGACTCACCCCCAACTGTTTTATTTACATTTTTTAGTATATTAAAGTGCACAGATATTAATGCATTTACTCTCCTTTCAGCCTGGAAACGTCGGTTATTGAAATTGTATGTGACACCAAAAGGAAACACGGGAATTGTAAAATTAGTCTTATATTATAAGACCCCTTGAGTCAGGTTTTAAAATATTATATATTATATAATATTATATATTATATAATAATATAATCGCTTAGCTAGCAGTTTTTTACTTGTTAGCATTGCTATTTTACCTGCACACATGTGGGCTGCACATTTATAAAATATTATATATTATATATATATATATATATATATATATATATAAATAATTATTATTATTATTATATATTATATATATATATATTTATTTATATTAAAAAGCCGCAGAAAAAAGCTTAAAGAAATTTCTAGTGACTGAAAAAAAAAGAAGCTCAGAGTTACGTTTTGTCAGATATGACTTGTTTGCATGTCTATGTAGAATAAATATACATAAATACATACAATCCCTTTAAAATGAATATTATAATTAATATTTCAAAGTGCACAGATGTTAATTCACACACACACACATATCTATACATACATATATATATATATATATATATATATATATATATATATATA